CGATTTATTGTTTTTTAATATTATCCCGTTGACGTTTGACACGTCACTATAAAATGTTTATCATTAAATTTATTTAAAAAAAAAAAAAAAATAATAATAATAATAATAATAATAAATTTTGTTTTTTTTCTTTAACGATCATTCGATTCAGTTGTTGTTATGTTATTTCTAAATAGAATTTTTTTTTTTTTTTTCGAAATTATTGAGATTTTTTTTTTAAAATTGGCACGAAGCAAAGGTAAAAAAAAATATCGTTGAGAATTTTCATTTTTTATTTTTTATTCCATTCCATCCGGCGATTTGCTATAAATACATATACGCTCGTATAAAAAAGAAAGAAAAGAAGATAAAATGGTTGATTACAAAATTGTTTATTTAAATTTTCGAAATTAAGTTAATTTTTAACGCGAGTTGTAAAAAAAAAAAAAAATAAAAAAAAAATGAGAAGAACACCTAAAACTTTTACAATTTGTGTCTTGTCCCTCTGAATTTGATTCCAAATAAATTTTTTAAATTAAAATAATAATAATGATGATGATGATGATGATGATGAATTTTTCCAAATCGTTTAGTGTAAAATGTAAAAAATCCGGTTATGATAACAATGATGGTCAATTTAATTCCTTTGAATCGATTTCATATTGATCAAATCAAGGTGGAAATGTTTTATTATTATTATTATTATTAAAATGGTGAAGGAAGAAAAGAAATAGTTTAAAATGTAAATAATAATAATAATGATGATTTGTTAATTATTATTTTTAGATGTTGCTTCATCTGACCAGGAGGAACTTTTTATTAGAAAACTGCGTCAGTGTTGCGTGGCATTCGATTTCATGGATCCGGTGGCCGACTTGAAAGGAAAAGAAATAAAAAGGGCGACACTTAACGAGTTAGTGGACCACATAACCACTGGAAGAGGGGTTCTTACGGAGCCGGTTTATCCAGAAATTATAAAAATGGTACGTCGAAAATATATATATAAATAGGGGAAAGGAATGAAACGCGATTCATGGATTTTGTCTAGTGCCTGAAAAATAATAATAATAATAAACAGGCATCGGGAGAAGATTAGACGTTGTTAATTACAAAGATTAAACATAATACGTTAAAAACATCCTTTTTTTTTTTTTTTTTTTTTTTAATTTTATTTATAGAAGATGTAACACTTAAGGTCTAATTAACTAACTTAGCGGTTTTCCGTTGTGGAAAAAAAAAAAATGAAGAAATTTTTTTCGGTTTAACACAGTCGAAATTATTATTATTATTATTATTATTATTATTATTATTATTATTATTATTATTATCTGTTACTTTTCCATTTCTAATTATTTGAAGGCGTTAAATAAAGGATTGACATTATTAAAAAATTATTTTCAAATAGATTTCAGCTAATTTGTTCAGAACGCTCCCGCCAAGTGAGAATCCAGACTTTGATCCCGAAGAGGATGATCCAACGTTAGAAGCTTCATGGCCACATTTACAAGTATGTTACTATTATTATTATTATTATTATTTGCATTGATGCGACGAACAAAGAGGGAGGAGGGGAGGAGAAAAACAGAGACAAGGAGTGATAAAACATGTAAATTAATACTGCTACCCTTGTTTATTAAAAAGTTTGAATGGGAAAGGGGTATGGTTGTGGAAAATGGGAGAAAAGGGATTAGATGAAAATTTATTAATTATAATAAAGAAATATATAATAATAATCGGGAATGCAAAAGATTCCGGCAATGAGTTAATTTGACATTTTCACAAGATAAAAGTTGGCGACTTGTCTCTCTCTCTCTCTCTCTCCTTTTTTTTTTTTTTTTTTTTTCCTTCATAATTATTTATTTTCTATTTAAAATGTGTTTTTCAGTTGGTGTATGAATTCTTTTTGAGATTTCTCGAATCATCTGATTTTCAACCGACAATTGGTAAAAAAGTCATAGATCAAAAATTTGTGCTCCAAGTTTTAGATTTGTTCGACAGCGAAGATCCCCGGGAGCGTGACTACCTTAAAACGGTCCTTCATCGCGTTTACGGAAAGTTTTTAGGATTACGTGCTTTTATCCGAAAACAAATTAATAATATATTTCTTAGGTGAGTTATTAATTAATTAATTAGCCGACAATATTTTTTTCACCCGTATTTAATTTTTTTTTTTTTTGAAGAAGAAGAAGAGAGAGAGAGAAATAAATTTTCTTTCTTTCTTTCTTTCTTTCGGTTTTTGACGTAAAAATCAGGTACGGTGTTACCAACAACGTGCCTGATGTATTTACTCCATGCTCACGGTGTTGAAATATTTTTTTGATTTTAACATTTTTTTTTCTTTAAAAATTTATTTTTAATTATAAATCAATTTAAATCTCCGTTAAAAAATAAAAAAACTAAAACCTTATGGTACCTTAAATTTTAATATATATAACTAATTTTTTTTGTTTAAAAAATTTTTCAGGTTTGTGTATGAAACGGAACATTTTAATGGAGTAGGTGAATTATTGGAAATTTTAGGGAGGTACGTAATTTTTTTAACTTGACAACAAAATCTCTTTATTATTATTATTATTATTATTATTATTAAGTTATTGGTAAAATGTAATAATTTTTATTTTTTTTTTTAATATTCAGTATAATTAATGGATTCGCGCTGCCGTTAAAATCAGAACACAAACAGTTTTTAGTCAAGGTGTTGATTCCTTTACACAAGGTTAAGTGCCTGGCGCTTTACCATGCTCAGCTCACATATTGTATCGTGCAATTTTTGGAGAAAGACGCCACATTAACGGAACCCGTGTTCAAGGGATTGTTGAAAATATGGCCGAAAACATGCAGTCAAAAAGAAGTTTGTGTTTCACCGATCATCATCATTATTATTATTAACAAATTTAATTTTTATTATTATTATTTTTTTTTATTTATTTAATTCCAGGTAATGTTTCTTGGAGAAATTGAAGAAATACTAGATGTCATTGAACCCTCACAATTTAACAAAATTCAGGAACCCTTATTTAGGCAAATATCAAGATGTGTATCGAGTCCACACTTTCAGGTGAGATGTCATCTCTTTGCCTTTTGTCAGTGTCACGGTTATAACTCTTTGTTAAATATTGTGTCCACTTTTCCTCTTCTTGTCATTAAAGGTTGCAGAAAGAGCTTTGTATTTTTGGAATAACGAATACATAATGAGTTTAATAGAAGAAAACAATCAAGTGATTATGCCAATAATGTTTCCAGCTCTATATCGCATAAGCAAAGAGCATTGGAATCAAACGATAGTTGCTCTTGTATATAACGTCTTGAAAACATTTATGGAAATGAATAGTAAATTATTTGATGAGCTCACGGCTTCGTACAAATCCGAAAGACAAAAGTAAGTCGTCGAATTTTGATTTTTTTTTTTTTTTTTTTAGTTTAAGGGGTAGTCACGTGCGTAACGTACCATTTGCAGAATACTTCGATGAGGTTCCCTCTCCCGCTCCGCCCCCCCGGCCCCCTCCCCCCCTTTAAAACGAAATTTGTTTCATTTTAATCAACTTTACTATTTTATTATTGCTTAACAATGTTGTCGCCCTTGGTTGTCTGCCCACGCACACACACTCAGGCACAGGCACACAATCAGTTTTTTTTTTTTTTTTTTTTTTTTTTTTTTTATTGTTGTTGTTATTATTATTATTATTATTATTATATTTTCAGGGAAAAAAAGAGAGAAAAAGAGCGAGACGAATTATGGAAAAGATTAGGTGAACTTGAAATCAGTAAAAAAAATAAAGAAAAATGTCCTAAAAAGTGATATTTTTTTTTATATCAATGAGAAAACGGCGATTATTAATTTTGTTGCTGTTGGTAGAATTGTAAATAAAGTATAAAAGAAAAAAAAAATTGAGTATAAAACAAACAAAAAACCAAAAAAAAAAAAAAAAAAACTAAAAAAAAACTAAAAAAAAAAAAAAAAAAAAAACAAAAACAAAAACTAATACCTTTAAAAGAATAAAAAAAAAAAAAAAAGATGATGTGATGATGATGATGATGATAATATGATGATGATGATGATGATTATGTTGTTGATGTTGATGATAGTGATATAATAATAATAATAATGGTGGTAATAATAATAATAATATTAATATATATATATATATAATAATAATAAAACTTAGTTTTAAAAATTAAATTGCTAAATAAAAAAATTATATATATATATATATATATAAACAAGCCGAAAAGTTATTTTTATATTATTATAATTCGGATCTTAGGGTCGAAAGATGCGAAAGGGAAAGGTGGGGGGAAGGAGGTGGATGAAAGGGGGGGGGGTTTAATAAAAAAAAAAAAAAAAAACAAAATGGCTTCAAGCTTAAATTTTTTTTGTTTTTCTCATGAATGAATGAATGATCAATGATATTAAAATAGAAAAAACAATGAATAGTTGCCATCTTTGAATAAATAAATAAATAAATATTTGTTCGTCAGATCTCACTCATCGAACTCTATTATTATTATTATTATTATTATCAATTATTATTATTATTATCATTATTATTATTATTATTATTATTATTATTAATATTAATAGAACTAGTTTAAAAAAAAAAAAAAAAATTTATAATTGTCTTTTTCTTTCATTTTCATATACTCATCACGTAATCAATCATACATAGAAAATCTCTCTCTCTCTCTCTCTCTCTCTCTCTCTATCTCTATCTCTATCTATCTGTATTTATATATATCTATCTATCTCACTTTTTAGTTGTTTAAGGTTCTAAATATTTTTTTTTAATTAAATGGTAAAAAAAAGAAAAGAAATTAATTTGCTGCATTTTATTTCAATTATTTATTTATTATTTAATGTTTAATAAATTTTTCAATCGCGGCTTTATTAATAAAAATAAATAAATATATATTTAATTTAAAAACGTGCATGTGCATATAAATAAATAAATAAATAAATAAAACGACTCTATGTGATTATTATTATTATTATTATTATTAAGTTTTATATTAGATATTTTTTCAAAGTGCTTTTCTCAATAATAATAAATAATAATAAATCATACCGAATAATAATAATAATTTTTTTGTTTTCGTTTTTAAATCATATTAATTAATAATGGAAGGATTAATTAATATTGTCTTGCCGGATTTAAATAAATAAATAAATATATGTATCGATGAATGATTGATTGATTGATTGATTGATCGGTTGAATCTTCATTTAAATTTTTTATTATTAATTAAAGAATAATGATTGATTAATTAATTATTATTATTATTATTATTATTAGTTGATTTTTTTTTTTTTTTTTTGTAAAGCTGTTATTAAAAAATAATAATAATGATAATGATAATGGTGATTTTTCTTTTTTCTTTTTTTTTTTTTTTTTTGAAAGAATAGTCACATTATTATTATTATCATTATTATTATTATTATTATTATTATCATTATTATTATTATTATTATTATTATTTCAATAAGTGTTTTTGTATAGACGTTTTTTTTTTAGTTAAATAATTTTTATAACGACTAACAAACAACACAGCAGTTTACTTTATTAGTCAAAAAAATATAAAGAAAAATAAATAAATAAATAAATATTTATTTACATAATTTTGATAATCATTGGGATTTGATTCGAATCTATTATTATTATTATTATTATTATTATTATTATTATTATTATTATTATTATTATTATTTCTTTCGAACGCGATCGTTTATTGTTTGACAAAAGTGAAAATCAATTAATTAATTTTTTAATCATGTTTATTCTCTTTGTGTCAAATAATTTGTTTATTATTATTATTATTATTATTATTATTATTTCAGGTTTTCGTTTGTTAGAATATATAAATGTATTATGAATCTCACATTATTATCATTTTTTACGGTGTATATGTGATAACAGACGTAAAAATTGACGGTTACGATTATATATATATATAATAATAATAAAACAAACGCCGACACAAAACGCCTTTTTGTGCCTTTTTGTCTGTTTTAATTCACGCACGTGCGCACGTGCACACGCGAACATGCACACGGGGATTCATTTCCCTGGATCGCGTATGGTTTCCATTAAAGTGAAAAAAAAGTTTTTGTTTTTTATTTTGTCTCATCGGTTGTTCGTTTGTTTGTTTTTTTTGTTGTTTTCTTATCGTAATTGTTTGTTTAGTATAGCATAGTCATGACAATGCAATGTTAAAATATTAATTTTGTAAAAAACTTTTGTCTTTTGAGGGGAGAGAAAACGCAAACCTTTTGATTATTATTATTATCATTTTTTCATTTCTTTTATCGAATTTCTTAAATATTATCATCATCATCATCATCACCATCATTTAATCAATTGAAAATTTTTGTTTTTCTTCTCCTCTTATCAGTAACAAAAAAAAAAGAAAGAAAGAAGGAAGATGATAATAGCGTTTTACTCAATTTTAAATAAATAAATAATAATAATAATAATAATAATTAATATTTATTAAATTAAAATAATTGAATCTCTAAAATATTATTTGAATGATCTGGAAAAAAAAAAATTATTTATTTTATTTATTTATTTATTTATTACCTAATAATTACGTCCCTTTTATCGTTATTATCATTATCATTATTATTATTACATTGCCATTACAACGTTTTTTTTTTTTTTTTTTTTTTTGCAAAGTAATTACTAAAGTAAATAATAAAAACTGTAGTGTAAAATAATAATAATAATAATAATAATAATAATAATAATAATAATAATAATAATAATAATTGGATAATAAATATAAGTTTAATGATAAAGAATAAAAATTTTTTATTCTGCTGCTGTTGACGCCGCCGCCGCCGCACCCCCCCCCACCCCCGCCGCCTCCTCCGCATCAATGGGCTTATTATTATTATTATTATTACTATTACTATCGTCATTGTTTATATATATATTTGTTTTTTTACCGCGTTTTTTTAATTTTATAAAAAAAAAAAAAAAAAAAAAAACGTTAGAAAAGAATTTACGCGGTGATAATAATAATAATAATAAATTTAAATCGTATACTCATCATCATCGTCATCGTCATCGTCAAGTTCGCGTTATGTGATTGATTGATTGATTAAAAAAAAAAAAATAATTCACACCGCCTTTTATTAATAATTTTGTTTTATCGTTTTTGTCATTCGTCGTAAGAAGACATTTTTTTTTAAATAGAAATTTAATTTGAGTTTAAAAAAAAAGTAAAAAATGGATAGAAATAATGATGATATTTGATAATTTTTCCCACTGTTGTCACGAACATAGGTTTTTTTTTTCTCTCTCTCTCTCTCTCTATCTCTCTCTTTCCATTACATGCCTTTTTATTAGAGGTAATAATAATGATAATGATAAGTTATTTCGATCGAATGCGAATGTTTGTAGTCGATGTAAAATTAAGAATAAATTAAAAAAAAAAAAAATTGCACTACCCTTTCACGAGTGTTTGTTGCTTAGGACAAAAAAAAAAAAAAATAATTAAATAGTAATTAATGATGATGATGATAATAATAATGATAATGATAATGCTAATAAATTTAATAAATATATTAATAAATGAAAATCTCTTATATATATATATATATATATATATAGTTAAATGACTTTTAATATCGACCTGTTTTTATTAACTGTTATTATTATTATTATTATTATTATTTAAGATTGGATGTATTGAGAAAATGTGCTTACATTTTAAAATAAATGTGTGTAATGTGTTTATTATTATTATTATTATTATTATTATTAATTAATTTTTAAAAAAAAGAAATTGTACCAATAGTATGCAACAATCTCTCTCTCTCTTATATATATATATTTTTCTTTAAAATTTTTATTATTCTCCATCCCTTTTGTATGTATATATATATAATTTGAAAAATTAATTAAATATAATATACCGTTTTCAAAAAAAAAAAAATTATGAATAATTTAAAAAAAAAAAAAGCAAATTATTAATACATGTTTTATTTCATTTTCAATTTTCTTTTTTCGATATTTTTTTCGTTTTTTTTTTTAAGAAAAAGAATTTTCGTGTCGGCCATTTTGTTTTTTACCAAAAAAATAATATTAAATAATGGTATTGGAATTTTCGTTGGTCAAATTCGAGCGCGCGTGACGTATGATTTGAAGACAAGGTTGCCAACTTAAATTGTGACGTATAATTTTTTTTTGTTCGAATCAAGTCGAGTGACGGTTAGTTTGATGATTTTCGTTTTATTTTAAATGTAATAATTTATTTTATTTCGTTTTTCGTTTTAAATATTTATATTTAAAGTTATTAATTATTAATTGTTGTTTAAAACGGTTGCTTTTTTTTAAAAAGTAAGTTTTAAGGACTTGAAAAAAGAAGAAGGAGAAAAATTTTGTTTTTTTTTTTTTATGTCCAATGGATGATTGTTATGGAATAAAAAAGGTAAATGTTAATTAATTAAATTATTTTAAAACGCTTTTTTTTTAATTGCTGAAAAATGCTGAATATATGATTGATTTTCATATTTAGTTTCATCATTCAGATTTTGGAAAGTAATTAAAATCTTTATGTAGGTTTGTTTACTCCTCCCACAACTGGTTCATCACCTTTTTTGTAAGCCCAAGCCATTCTTTTTGATATAAAACCAATTCCAATATCACCCTTGTTGGAAACTGTTATGGCTCCAGCTGTGTCACCAACAACAGACCCCATATAATTAAGAGCATCATCAGTTGCTTCTTGAGCTTTTTTACCTTTACAATTTTATCATTTAATAATAGTATTATTAATTATGAAATATGTCAATTACTTAAAATTACCTTGTTCCATTAAATTTAATATGCGGTTAGACAAACAGACTCTCATTATTGATTCTCCTTTTCCTGTTGCTGACACAGCACCAATTTTATCATCAGCATAACCTCCACTACCTTTAACATTAAATGTAATCAAATATCATTTGACAGATTTTTCTTCTTATTTTATTTACCTGGTATTGGAGTATCTCCAAGTCGACCTGGTGCTTTTCCAGTTGTACCACCTGTTGATGTTGCCATAGCAACTTTTCCACTTTTACTAACTGCAACAGCTCCAACAGTTCCATTTCCAAAAAGTCTTAAAGTAATAAATTCACATAAATACGTACATAATTTTTTTTTGAGATAATTAATTCTTATTACCCTGCATCTTCACATGAAGATTTTCCTTTTAAAAAATTTTCCAAATTATTAATTGCAGTTTGGGTTACCATTCTATAAGCAGGTACTGTTTTCATTCCTTGTTCTGCAGCAAATCTTTGAGCTCCTTCTCCAACCAACATTGCATGCGGTGAATTTTCCATAACTTTTCTAGCCAAAGCAACCGGATGTAGAATGTGACGTACACATCCCACGCTACCTGTTTTGAAAATTTCAATTGTAAAAACAAAAAACCTTTAAAAAAATGTTTTTTGAATTTAAAATTTTTACCCAGATTAAGAGTTGTTCCTTCCATTATAATGGCATCAGTTTCCAATTCTCCATCTAACGTAAGGACCCCACCGGTACCTTTAAAAATTTTTAAGCATAAAAATTCCTTAAAAAACACATTAATAATAATAATAAGGTATAAAAACCTGCATTGAAACGAGGATCATCTTCCATTTGTTCGACAGCAGCTTGTACAGCATCTAAAGGAGAATCGGTTTTTATTAGAACGTCATAACCCTTTTCTGCAGCTTTTTTAACACCGGAAATGACGTCTGAAACTGTTTCGTCAGCAATGTTACCAGCTCCACCGTGAACAAGAACAACAGGTACGACCATTTTTTATAAATATTATTATTATTGCATGAAAATAACACTTTGAAAAATTATAACGCGTGCGTGTGTGTGTGTGCGTAAAAGAAACAAAGAAAAAATTATTTTATTTGTTGATTTAAATTATTATCAAAAAAATGATAAAAAAAAGAAAAGCCTAAAACACGGGGCGGTAATCAATAAATAATTGATTTTGTCATTATTATCTTAAAATTTTTTTATCTATTTCCCCGAAAAGAAAATTTTCTTTCTTTTTACTTTTTTAATAACACTATATAAACTTAATTATTATCATTATTATTTTCCCTTAGTCATTATTAATAAATAAAACAAAATAATTTAACGCCATTAATCTCGTTTATTACAACAACAACAACAATAGAAAAACAAAAGAAAAAATAAAACTTTTAATCGAGTTACATAAAATTATTGTTGTTATGTAATAATAATAATAATAATAATTTTCTAATTTACGATCGTTTGTTTTAAAATTTTTTTTTTTTTATTTATTTTTTACAACAAAATTTTGCTCGTTTATTCACGTTTCACAATAAAATTTCATTTCATTCATCAATCAATTCCCCCCCCTTCCCGCGCGCGTGCCCCCCTTTCTCCCCGGATTCGAGTAAAAAAACAAAAATCTTAATTATTATTATTATTATTATAGTAATTCCTTTTCTAATTTGATACGATTCGTAGGTTTTCGGTAAATATTTTGGTTTGCGAAACATATGAGGAAATATTATTTATAATAATAATAATAATATATTTATCTACATAATTTTATTTACATAAAATTTTACTTTTGTACTTGTTTTTACACGTGTGTGCACGTGTGGGTGTGTGGGTGCGTGTATACCAATCGCGACTAATTAAAATAATTTCTAACATATTATAAATAAATATATTTTTTTTTTAATAACTAACTAATAACAAATTTTTACGAATGAGTATATTTTTTTTTTTGTTATTATCGAAAGGTAGAATTTAAATACAAATGATTAAGAATGATCCGGCATTTCGACTCCAGCGTGTATGGGTCCTTTTCCTTTTTTAAAACCCCAAGCCATTCTTTTCGTACAAAAAGCAATACCGATATCACCACAATTAGATAATGTTATAGCACCAGCAGCATCACCAACCGTAGATTGCATGTAACATAATGCTTCTTCCGTTGCTTTTTGTGCCGACATGCCTTTGGATAAATAATAACATTAAATTATAATCGAAAGAAAAATTATGAAAATTCGACCGATAGTGACGTACCTTGTTTCATGAGATTTAAAATCCTGTAGGATAAACAAACTCTCATAATTGATTCACCTCTTCCCGTTGCCGAAACTGCTCCCACGTCATCCTGTGCATAACAACCGCCTCCCGGTATTGGAGTATCACCCAAACGCCCCGGTGGTTTCCCTAAAGTTCCTCCTGTTGATGTCGCACTTGCAATATTTCCACATGCGTCTAAAACCACGGCACCGACAGTACCGACTCCAGCACCGCATCTTTAATAAAAAAGGAAAAATATTTTTAACAGTTCTTTAAAGTGTGCTTTCGAAATAAAACAAACTAACTCGAATTCGGTATCGGCACATTCAGGATTGCATGAAAATTTTTCGTAACTAATAATTGATGATTCCGTAACCAAATCGTATGTGGGTGTCGATGTAAAACCTTCATCTTTGGCAAATTGTGCTGCTCCTTCTCCTACCAACATGCAAGCACGTGATTTTTCCATAACTTTACGAGCCAATGCAACAGGATGAAGAATATTTTTAACGGCTCCAACACTTCCTTAAAAAAAAAAACAAATATATTTTTCTCTCTCTCTCTCTCTTCCCTTTTCTCTCTCTCTCTTCAATCCAAAAAAATGTTACCAAAATTTAATGTTTTCCCTTCCATAATAATTGCATCCAATTCAACTTCACCAAATGAATTTAAAACTGCTCCCCTTCCTGAAATTTTTACATAAAAAATTCACAAAATTTATTGTAATTAATTTTAATTTCGTCACAATAAAAGGAAAATTGGTACCTGCATTAAATGCCGGATCAGCTTCCATGACTTCAACACAGGCTTGAGCAGCATCAACACAATTTCCTCCATTTGAAAGAACTTCATAACCTTTTATCACGGCACATTTAATACCTTTAACCATTTCACATATGTTTTCATCAGATATATTTCCGGCTCCCCCGTGTACCAAAATAACAGGTACGACCATTTTCTTCCTTTTTCTTTAAAAAAAAAAAAAAAAAAATTAATTAAATGATAATAACTGACTGCAGTCAAAACAAATATGCCAAAGACTTATGGCGAAATAAATGAAAAAAAAAAAAAAAAAAAAATTCTTAGAGAAGTCAACAACAAGAGTTGAGGTCAAAAACTGGGGCCTTGACACATTCAAGGTTTTTTTGATAATATAATAAAAAAAATTTATCTTAATTTCTGCATTTCTCTCACGCACATACATATTCCTTACAATTTCATTTATTCTATTATTATTATTATTATTATTATTTAATTTTTTATTACAATTTTGAAGGTTAGTAATTAAACGTAAGAAGGAATATTTATTACAAAAAAAAAAAAAAAAAAATTACATGAGAGAATCCATCATCTTATTCATTCAAATTAAAAATTTTAATTGATTATTTATATGTTATACAATTGTATTTAAAAAAAAATATTGCTTAATTATTATTAAACATTGAACTGATAATGACATTTTTTATATATATATATATATTTTATGACTTTTTTATCACTTTAAACTTGTTAATTTTTGATAATAATAATAATATGTTTTTTCAATGAAAAATTATCTTAGCTTTTTTTCAATATAGTTAAATCCATGGAAATGATTTTATATTTTGATAATATTAATTAAGCAATAATATTACTTTGTAGTTTTTTTCTTAATAATTTACTTTTAATAACTTTAAACATGTTTAGTTAACTTGATTAAAGCCTTTTTTAAATTATGTACCTGACTTGATGATCATTTTTTTTATTTTTTGAAATTTTAATATATATATATATATGTATATATACACCTTTAAAAAAATAATTATGTTTTAATTATTGATAATATTATGTTTTTATTATCTTACTCGTTTATTTGTTTTTTTTCAAGATGTTTTTGAATGATGTTCTTGATTTTTTAAGTGACCATAGCATTTTATAACGTTTTCATTTCTTATATGAAACTTAATATAACTGACTTGCAATTTATCTCCATTCCTTCGAATAATAATAATAATTTTATTTTTAAATGTATTTATGTATGTAAAAGTTATTAATTATTAAGAAAATAATTTTTTTTTTTTCTATTATTATTTCCTTCATCGTGAATTTTTTATAATTTTTTTTTGTTACTTTTATAAAAATTTTATATATATATTTTTTTTATTTTTGATTGTAATTTTAAAAAATAAACATTTTTAAATCGTTAGCGATCGAACGCGTTGCCAACTTTAACAAAAAAAAAAAAAAAAATAGTTTCCTTTGTGGTATGACAGGTGCTGCTTCCTATAATTTCATGATTATGTTTTTGTACGTGAAATCACTTTAAGATTATAATTAATTTTTTTTTTTTTTTTTTTTTTTTTTTTTGTCATGGCTATTAGGAATTTATTGTTGTTAAGTCAGTTGACTGGTTATATTATTGCATTAATATTATCATTATGTATTACAATTCCTATGAGTTTACATCAAGATGAATTTAAGTACGTAATCGTTTTATGTACACAAATTTATAGTTGACGTTTAGATATGTAAAAAAAATTTTTTTTTTTTTTTTTTTTTTTTTTTTAGAGGCCACTGTTTATTATTTTCAACGGGTGAATGGCAAGAATCCGATGGTCAATTTGTTGTAAAATGGGCATCGCAAGCTTTTTGTAATTATATTATACTTGTGGGCGTGATACTTTTCGTTTCATCTGCGTTTCAAATATACAGAATGTCAGTGTTTGTATATAAGGGAACCGACAGTAGTTTTTTATCCGCTTTTCTTGACGTTATAGGTTGTTTATTGTTATGTTTAATGACAATAATAGCAGCCTTGATTGTTACATTAGGTTTTACACAATGGTGTAATGAAATGATAAGAAGATTTCCATCATGCGATTTAGCAGCTGGAAATGCTATAGATAAACAAGATGGTATAGACACGACAGGGTTTTATATTGAAATAGGAGTAGCACAATTTGCCATTTGGGGATCTTGGGCTACATGGGTGGGTCTTTCTGTTTGTTCAATATTAAAATTATGTCGGTATCATCAATTGGAAAACATTAAAGTTAGCATGTACAGAGAAAGGCAAAAATTAATCAATGAAGTTCCCGGGTCTTCCTCAGGGGATCCGAGCAGTAATTTTGACGATATTGTTCCCGGGTCAAAGGAATAACTTTCTAATGTTGATTAAAATAAACATAAATTTAAGGTTTTAAAAGTCGAATGTGTAAAAATTTATAATAAAGGAAAAATCTTCCAAAAAAACCAAAATTGTGCTGCACAAGTAAAATAATGAAAATTATATAATGTATACTACTATGTAAAGACAATAAGTTTGAGTAGTTTCAAAAGTATTCGATAAACATTTAAAACGACTCAAAACAATATTTTACTTTTTTATGCCAGTTATTCGAGTAAAAACAAGTATCTCTTCTCCTATTAAAGATTTCATCATTATTATATTTTATTCAGATTATTATTTATTATGTGTATTTTAATTTAAAAAACTCTTTGTTTAAAGGAAAATCAATAAAAAAAAAAAAAAAATTTTGTAAGTTATAAAAGGCAGTTTGAGAAACCAAAAATATGACATAAATTATGTACAATAACTTTGTTAAATTTAACAATGCTTTTAAAAAAAATTATTATGAAATTGTAAAAATTATAATTATTATTAATATTATCGATTAGTATTTAGTTTTAAAAAGTAGGAAACAATAGTTTAATGTAAATAAGTATTAATAATTATTATTGTGATCAATTAATTTTTATAATATTTTTAAATATTTTTTAAAATTAAATATTATTTTTGTAAATAAAATTTAATAATTATTTATATGAGATTTTTTATTTTATTTTAAAGTATGTTTGTCGCCATAAAAAACTCTACTTATTTATTTATTTAAATTTAGAAAAAAAAAAAACAACTGAAATTTAAAATTATTTAATTTTTATAATTATTTTTATCTATTATATTATGTTCATTATTATCAATGACCTTTTGACATTTTTCAGGTAGTATCATCATACCATGTTTCATAAAACTTTTTAGTTTTAGGAGCAAAAAACTGGTCCATGCAGTTTTGACCTTATTGTCGTTTTGGAATTTTTGTACGTACAAAAAAGTTTTTTTGTGATCTGAAAAATTTGAAGATAGGTCAAGATGTCGATGGGGCCGGGAGTTAGTGGCGTGCTCCTGTAATCCAGCTACTTGGAGGCCGGGTGCAGCGGATGACTGATCGTGTAATTCCGCCGGCTTACAGAGTATTTAGAGACTTGTTCTCGATGCGCGGCGGTTGAGAGCCGTTTTCTCCGGTCGCAGACGAAGAGTCAGACCTGTACCTTACCAACCTTCCGGGGAGAAAAAGAGTCAAGGGACTCGGCACTTTTTTTTCAGGATTTCATCATCCTGCTCCGGGCAAACGGGGATGCGAGCGGAAGGACGGCGAGAAGATCTTCTTGCGGGGGATCGACTCGTCTCCGGAAACTCGTCATTCTCGGGAGATGGTTCGCATGCTTAAGGACGGTGCGTGCGATTCATTCCAACGGCAGAAAGAAGATACGAACAAAGATGAAGGTCGGGACGACGACGTCGGAGTCCGCACCGGTCGGATTCTCGCTCTTCGGACTGCAAGAGTCAACCGAACGGCGACAGGAGCGAAACACGGACGGACTGAGGGGGATGTTTCGTCGGGTCCGATACTTCAAAACTTCTCACCGCCTTCGGAAGCTCACTTTGTCTCTGGGGGAGGCGGTAGGTCGGTACCGTCTCCCGAGGCACGAGGGAGGAAAGGATTCGTCCCGGTACTCCGAGTCGGGCTCCGGATCTCTTTCTCGATTACGTCGGGGGGAGATTCGTCCCGGCTTCAGTGCGTCAGCGTTCTTCTCGGCGATCGGAGTCTGGCAAACTTTCGGTCGTCGCGGGGTCGTCGAGGGGGGGAACGGGGATTAATGTTTCTGATTTTCAGGTTCATGTCTTCGGTCTTTCTCCCATCGTGGTAGCAGTGGCAGGGGCGCGCAGGTGAAGGAAACGGGCGGTCCGGCCGGGAGTAGCGAACCCCTCCGTGCCGCTCGGTTCCGGAAGCTCGCGTTTCCTGCGGCGGTGGCGGAAGCGACGTGGCAGGTCGTGAAGGGTGAGGACGCTCGGTGGCGGCTAGCGCGAACCCGTCGGGCGAACGCATCCTCAGGAAACAGGTGCGTTTCTCACACGTCGCCGGTTCGTCGGCAGAAAAAGACAACTGATCAAACGGGAAGGACGCTACGAGGACATCGTGAACGACGACGATCTCGTGCGTTTAAAGGCGGAGTGAAGGGCTTCGCGGGTCCGGGTCCGACGAGCGATATGGAATTCCAAGGAGGTGTGTTGGAAAGAGCTTCTGAGCGAAGCGGATTCGGATCCGTGGGGTCTCCCGTTCCGTCTCGTGACCAACAAACTGAGAGGTTCGTCGGGACCGCTGACGGCCGGCATGACGGAGGAGTTTCTTGCTGAAGTGATCGCAGAGCTCTTCCCTCGCGTCGAACCGTTCGCGTTTCCCCCGGCGGATTTCCCTTACGACGAAAATCGCACCGACACCGCCGTGACGGAGAGGGAGGTTCGCCTTCTCCTCGACGCGACCTCGAAGAGGCGCTCGGCTCCGGGCCCGAACGGCGTGCATTACCGCATACTCGGCAAGTCCGCCGGGGTGCTGTGTGCGCATCTCTTGGCGCTCTACACCGCGTGCTTTCAAGAGGCGACGTTTCCGACCACGTGGAAAGAAGCCAACTTAATTTTGCTCGACAAACCGGGTAGGGATCCGACGACGCCGAGCGCGTATCGGCCGATTTGTCTTTTCGATGTAGAGGGCAAGTTGTTCGACCGCGTGATCGCGTCCCGGATAGACGAACACTTACGATCAGAGGGAGGGAGGAACGACCTCTCTCCGAATCAGTACGGCTTCCGGACGGGCCGTTCGACGACCGACGCACTCGACCGCGTGTGCGCCGGAATCCGGGACACACTTCGCTGACGTCGAAGTCCGTGCCAGACTATCTGACATCAATCATCGATTCATTCCTCTCGGAGAGGAAGATCGCGTACGAGAAACCGGACGGAACGACGGGAAGTGCGGACGTGTTCTGCGGCGTGCCTCAGGTAGCAATTCTAGGACCACTCCTGTGGAATATCGCCTACGACTGCGTCCTCACCCGGACCGTTCTTCCCGAAGGCGTGATTCTCGATTCCGGTCTTTACTTCGGAGAACATCTGGCGCACCTCGGGCCGAAGATCTGAGCCGTCAGCGACGTTAGGACGCCTGATGCCAAACCTGCGCGGACCGCAGGCCAAGGTCAGGCGATTATACGCGACGGTCGTACACTCCGAGGCCCTGTACGAAGCTCCGATCTGGTCCGAGTCGGTTTCGGCAGCTCGGCCTCTTCGCGAGAAGGCAATACAACTCCAAAGGGCGTCTCTGAACCTAATGGCGATGGCTTACAGGGACGTCGCGGCGGAGGTGGCTTGTCTTCTGTCGGGTACTCCCCCGCTCGATCTCCTCGCGATGGAGAGATTCGTCCTCTATCGCGAGCGGGATCGCGGCGGGCCTAAAACAGCTCGTCATCGCAGGGAACTTCGTGCTCAAATTGTTAACACTTCAACGACGGGTGTAGGCGTTACGGGGGGGAAATCATTAACGTTCTTGGCCCCGGAGTGGGGGCTGGGTGGGGCGGGGTCACGGAAACTTGACTTACCGCCTCACTCAGGTCCTCACGGGTCACGGGGTGTTCGGCTCGTACTTGGCGCGTAAAAAGTACAATTTTTTTGACGTCACGTCGCTCTCCCTTCTCCCTCAAATTTCTCCGAAAAAAGAACAGAACAAAACGTTCGATAAAAAATGAACGCCATTTTTTTTAAATAAAAAATGATGTCATCGTTTTCAAAATAAAAAAAATGTGCAAAAGTTAATATTGTCAGAGGAAAGTTAAAACGGAAGGAAAATATAGAACTCTGAAAAAGAACTTATTAAAGAATTGGACCCTGGATCAACATACAAATATCTGGGGATTGAAGAAAATTTTGGGGTAGCCAAGAAGGAAATTAAACCACGATTGAAGAAAGAATATTTTAAAAAATTGAGGCTTATATTACAGTCGGAACTGAATGGAAGAAATAAGTTAACCGCCATCGGCACATTAGCAGTTCCAGTAATAGAATACAGTTTTGGCCTTGTCGATTGAACAAAAGAAGAAATCACGCACCTGGACCGAAGAACAAGGAAAATATTAACTATGAATGGTGCGTTACATCCAAAAGCTGATGTTGATAGATTGTACGTCAGCAGGAAAGATGGAGTAAGAGGATTACGACAAATAGAAGCGGCATACCAGAATGCCATAATTGGAATGGGAAAATACATAGAATCCCATCAAGAGGACCCTATCTTAGCCCAAGTTATACATGCAGAAGAAAAAACTACAAAAAAAGGAGTTCTGAAAAGGGCAAAACAAATCGTCAAAGAAAATAAAGAAAACGAGATAAGGGAAGAAGGGCAACTTGCAACTTATGATAGCAAAGTCCATTCTCAGAAGAAATTATGTCAATATCTCCATTGGAGTATATGCCGAAAATATGGAATGGATGGATTACCCAAGGAGTGGTACAACCACATTCCAAGCCCGGTTACGACAGCAGGTCCATGCACAGTTCTATATGATCAACAAGTCCACACTGACAGAACTGTGCCAGCTAACAAACCGGATTTCATCCTCAGATATAATGCGGGAAAATGGTGTAAATTAATTGAGGTATCCGTGCCGGCAGAAAAAAACACCAGGCAGCCAAAGAAGCAGACAAAAGGCTGAAATATAGAAATTTGGAAATTGAAGTAGCCAGGATGTGGGAAACAAAAACAGAAACGATTCCGGTCATCGTGGGAGCATTGGGAGCCATGCCACATACAATGAAAGGAAATTAAAACAAGATTTTGAAGAATCTAAAAGAAGAAACCATCCAGGAAATCGCACCACCGAAATTCGAGTATTTGTCCCTAAGGGATCGGGTAGAAACCTGGGATAAATACTTAAAAACCCCGACAAATAAGAGTCTTGTCGTGTTTAAGAATGACCATAATAATAATAATTAAAATTGAATGAGTTGATATGCGTTTACATCATGTCAACTTATTAAATTAATTTTTAAAAATTTTATTTAGTGATTTAGTTATAAGAAGTTATGTATGTATCAAAAGTTTTGTAATTTAGTCTAATTTATTGTAATATAATTATTTTTTTTAATATTAATTATTTGTTTTTTATTTTGTACTCCTAATTTTAAGCGAAAATCCACTGTTCCATTTTATTTTTTATTAAAAAAAACCTCCTTGGATCTTATGTTTTACGGATACATCGGAAAAAAATTCGTCGATTAAAAATTAAGTTAAAAATGACCGCGAAAATCCAACGTTTACGATTTATTCTAAAGTAGGTCGACCTTGAATACAAGGCCATTGGTTTTACATTTCAATTTTGTGAAATTTTTCATGGTCATGATTTTTCAACCAAGGTCGACCTTGAATACAAGGCCACCAGTTTTAAAATTTAATTTTGTAAAAATTTTTCATGGTCACGTTTTTGCATTCAAGGTCGACCTTGTATATTTTACCTGACACACATTTTATTTTAAGCGGGAATCCATTGTTTGAATTTTATTTTTTTCTATACCTCCTTGGGTATTATGTTTTTCTGATACATTTGGCCAAAATTTTCGATGTTTTTTAGGTAGAAAATTTAAATTTGTATGCTGTGTGTAAGGATGTACATTAAGGATGAAAAAAAAAAAAGAAAAATTTTAATTCACAATAATAAATTATATTTTTATTAAAATTAAATTTTTTTATGTCTTTTTTTCCCCATAATTATTCAACATGTGATTTTATGCAATTATAAAACGCATAAATACATAAATTGAAAAAAAAAAAAGTTTACATTTTTTCATTGGGGGGAGGGGGGAGAGAATAAATTTACAATAAAACTTAAAACGATAAAATCATACAAGAACAAAAGGGCGTTCAAATCAATTTTTTTTTCTGCACGATTACAATAAGTTTAATAATAATAATAATAATAATAATAATAATAATAATAATATTTTGTTTTAACTCGAAACGCGTTTTTATATAAAATAAAATAAAACTTGACTTATTATTATTATTGAATTACATTTTATACTTATTTTAGTTTTTCTTATACTTTGACTAACATTAATAATAATAATAATGATATTGATGACAATATCGACAGTGATAATAATAATAAAATTATATAAAATCAATCATCGAGTCATGAAATTAAAATAAAAAATTAAAAAAAATAGCATTTTTTTTACATTATTATTTCTCTTAACCTAATTCATTTTTTTCCTCCTTTACCCCCTCTACCCCCCGCAAACGATGACGTCATTTCCGTTTTATACGAAAAACCAAAAAAAAAAAATTTAAAAAACGAAAAGAAAAACTCGAATTTTCCAAGCATTTTGCGTTGCGAAAATCATTTCGACCGAAAAAAATTTTTTTTTTTCTCTTTTCTATTTTCTTCTTCCTTTTCCTTTTCTTTTCCTTTTTGTTTCTTCTTTTTCCACCTCCTCCTCCTTTTTCTTTTTTCCTCTTTCCAATCAATCATCTTCGTCTTCGTCATCGCTATTCGTCTACTTTGGTTGAGTTTTCCTCCTTCTCGTGCTTCCTCTTCCCTCTCCTCCTCTTCCTCCTTTTCCACTTTTGAGAGCCATGCCACATTCAATGAAAAGAAAATTTAATGAAGATTTTAAAGAACCTAAAAGAAGAAGAAACCATCCAGGAAATCGCACTAGAAGGTGGGACGGCCCACATTCTTCGGAAAATATTATAAATAGCACCATCGAAATTCGAGTAAAAACGAAAACAATATAATACAAACAATGGATTCACACTTAAAATCATTAGTACAGAAATGTTGATTAAGAAAAAGTTATATTATTGTGTCACCGAATAAAATAAACTATTTGAAATTTATTACGATATTAACTTTTATTATACGTATACGTGTATAAATTAAAAAAAAAATATATAAACAAAAAATTAAATAACAAAATCCTTTTTCCCTTATCTGTAATACAACCCCTTTCTCATTATTTGTACCCATTTATATAAATTACATAATTTTTTTCTCGTTTGAAAAGATATTCAGGTATCATTAAAAAAAAAAAAAACTATATAAAATGATTTTAAATAAATGATTCGTAACAAAAAAAATACATCATCGAACCCGTTATAAAATTTAACAACACGATTTAAAATTATTTATTCAAATAACAAAAAAAAAAAAAAAACGAAAACGAAAATGTTTTATATATAGGTATATTTATGTGTGTGTTTGTTTGTTATTAATAAATATATAAATAAACTATTACTGTCATTATTATTATGTATTACCTTTAATATTTTTTTCCTTTGTTGTTGTTGTTGTTGACAATTTTTTTAGTACTCTCTTTGAGTGAGTGATAAGAAAAATTTATTTATATAAAACAGTTATAAATATACACAATAATAATAATTATTATTATTACTATTATAATTAATTACTACGATGTGTTTTTACGACTTTCTTTTATTCTCGATATTAATTTTGGTATTGAATTTTGTACTTGTATAACTTCTTTACCGTTAAGAAAAGGCCTCAACGGTTTTGGCAGTAAAATGTTTCCATTTTGTTGTTGATGAGTTTCGAAAAGTGCCATCAACATTCTAGGTATGGCGCAAGCCGTTCCATTAACCGTATGAACGTGAAATAATTTATCTTCGTCTCTGTATTTAATATTGAGTCTTCTAGATTGATAGTCAATACAATTGCTGCAGCTTGATATTTCACCATAAATTTCCTTACCGGGAAACCAAGCTTCAATATCATGTTTTCTATATGCTGAAGCCCCTAATTCATGCATTGGCATATCTAATATTTGATAATCAAGACCTAAAGAGCTAAATATTTCTTCTTGTATGTCGACAAAATTTTGCATCATTTCTTCCGAATTGTCTGGATGAGATATTCCAAACATTTCAACTTTTGTAAACTGATGAACCCTAAAATAGAGAAGAACATTTATTAACCCTTTTTTTTTTTTTTTAAAAAAAATTAAACGATAAAGATATTTAAAGGAAATATATATATTTGCTGATTGTTGATTTTGTGTTACCTATATAACCCTTTCTCTTCAGCAAAATGAGAAACTTCTGAACGAAAGCATCTACTAACTGCTGCTAAATTTACAGGTAGGTCTTTAAGATTGAAAACTACATTTGAATTCATCGCTGCTAAAGCCATTTCAGAAGTCCCTGAAAGTGCAATGTTTTGACCATGAGATTCATCTAACTGATAAACCTAAATAAAAAAATAAATATAAGTAATAGTGACGATATTGAATGATGATGATGATGATTGCAATAACGAAACGATTATATTTAGAAAGAAATGATTTACTTGTGTTTGAAGAGCATTTGGTGTCATGCCACACCTTTCCAATACCTCCATTGGTAATATATCCGGCACTGATATCAGTTGAAAATTTTTTTTCAACAACCTAGATATTGTATATTTAATTAATGCTTGTTCTAAATCAGCCAAATCTCCAGTAAAGAAATAACTTCTTTGACCTGCTACTGTAGTTAAATCTTCCATTCTTAATAATTTTAAATCTTTGGCCAATTCCTGAAAATCTTTAGGTATGAAAGAATGAGTTACATGTTCAGAACTTTTTAAGACTCTAGGTCGTTCGCCATACTCTTTAACTGCTGGATGTGTTTTATTTGGTAGGCTACCGGCTTCTTTAACAAGAGACTGCCACAATGTTTCTCTTTTGCCAGGACATTTTTCATCTCTAAATTGATTATCTAATTCGAGAACTCTATTTATGTCTCCTACATTTTTACGATTTTTAATATTATTTTCGATTTCTTCGCGATTATTTGGATTTGTAATATAATCATAATCGAATTCTACATCTCCTAAAACTATTTTTGACTGGCAAATTGATTTTTTCTTACTAGATACCGGTTTTGTCCGAGTGTGAAGTTCAATAAATTCTCTTATCGCTCTTGATAATATTCTTTGATACATTTGGATAATTTAAAAATAAAAGCAGAATGATGTTTATTTTTAACGAATTCCTACTGACAAAACAACCATTTTGAATTTCCATTACGACAACTGATCAATCCTCGTTCAGAAATCCAACAAAAAAATTTTTAAAGAAACAAGACGAATTTGATTTTTTAAAATTGTTTTACCGGTAATATTCAACGGTTTTTTTGTTTTGTTTTGTTTTTTTTTTTTTAAAGAAAACTTTTTTGCAGGATATTTTAACGCGATATACACATATATTTACAAAAAAAAATGGATTATTACGGAATTTTAGGCATAACTAAAAATGCAAGCGATTTAGAAATAAATCAAGCGTAAGTTATTTATGATTAATGTGTTTATGTGGTTCATATATAACGAGACCAAACGATATTATTTATTAATAACTTCAGTTTCAAAAACTTAGCACTTCAGTTTATGAAAAATCTAAAAGAAAATGAAAACGTTGAAGAATTTTTCGTGACCATTGCTGAAGCTTATGATGTTTTATCAAATGAAAAATTAAAAGCTGTTTACGACCAATATGGTTCAGTTGGTCTTAAAAATGGCGTTCCAACTCCTGACGGTTTCGTACCTCCATACGTATATCACGGAGATTATTTAAGAACATACGAGTAATTTTTTTTCCCATATCTGAAACGTCTTAAAAGTTGTAATTAAAAAAAAAGAGACAAATTTTACAAACAAACAATAATTATTATTTTCCAGAGAATTTTTTGGAACTAAAAGTCCTTTTGCAGACATTCTCGATATAAGAATGCATCCATTACCTGTGTATAATCTTCCAGAAGGAAAAGGAGTTAAAATTAAATCTGAATCATTAATAAGACCTATTTACTGTACCATCGAAGAAGTAAGTTACAATATAAATTGTAAGAAATAATAATAAAAAAGAATAAAATTATTAAAAAATTTCAAGTACCTTTAAAAGCTCTATCAAGGTTGTACAAAAAAAATGAAAATAAAAAGGCAAGAAATTATTTCACCGGAAAGTTGCGGTCAAACGGAAGTAAGAGAAGTTATTTTAAACATACCAATAAAACCTGGATTACTTCAAGGTACGGAAATTGTATTTCCATGTGCTGGTGATCAAGGTCCAACCGTCGAACCTGGTAAAAATCAATAATAATCACATCTAGTCATGTGATATATGAGAAGAAACGACATAAAGATAATTTATACTTAAAATTTCTTTTTCTTTTTGTTATAAAGCTGATATTATTTTCAAAGTCACCGACAGACCACATGATTTGTTTGTCAGAGATGGTGTAAATTTAAAAATGACAGTAAATATAACTTTATTAGAAGCTTTAACAGGGACTACGGTGGCTGTAAAAACACCAGATGATAGAAAACTAAAAATACCTATTCACGACATTATACAGTAAAATATATTATTTTATTTTATGTGAATTTTAACTTTCATCCATTATTTATTTAACAAAAGAAAATAACTTTTTTTTTTTAGTCCGGAATACGAAAAAATAATTAAAAATGAAGGGATGCCTCACGTGGATGACAATTTAAAAAAAGGAGATTTAATTATACGTTTTAAAATTGCTTTTCCAGCTTATTTGCCAAGAGTTAGTAAAAATCTTATTAAAAAAGCGCTCAACGTTTGCAAATTGTTAGCCGTTTCCGGTGAATCTGAAAGTATTAATTTACGAATTATTATGGATCAAATCAATAGAAAACCTAGTTATGATTTTTTTCATACGAAAAAATAATCAAATCCTATCATTTATTCCATTATAATTTTTTTTTATTGCAAAATAAGATTTTCAATTATAGTTTTATGTAAAAAAAAAAAAAAAATGTACGATCAATTATATAATAATAATTAATAATGCGTTTTAAAATATAAATTTAATTAAAGACCCCCCCCCCAAAAAAAAAAAAAGCTTTATATTGTAACCTTTAATAAACGAGGTCATAGAGTAAGAAACTTAATTATTAAATATAATGATGTACGTACGTCTATGGTTTCACGGCCTCAATGTATTTGGTAACTCATCATTCGAGGACCATGACACAGCAATTATTTTCTTTCTCTTTTTTGTTACAATCGTTTTATTTAAAGAAAGAAATATTTTTCATATTTAAAGGAAATGCCAAATGATATAAAAAGAAAAAATATGCATTTGGTAAGTTTTTTCTGTTTAAATTTATCAAAATTTGTAAAGGAAAGCTACGAGGGTTATACGGAATGAATACAAGTAAAATTTTCATTAAATAAACAGGAACCTTTATCTCCGAGTCCTGTAATTGATATCAGCGATGATGAATTGGTATCCATTTCTGTTAGAGACTTGAACAGACAATTAAAATTGAGAGGATTAACACGGGAAGAAATCGTGAGAATGAAACAAAGGAGAAGAACACTTAAAAATAGAGGATATGCTGCAAGGTAATTTATGTTGTCCATGTTTATGTATGCTGTTGTGTTGTGTTATACTTAATTATCATCCCTATTTCATTACTTCCTTTTTTTTTTTTTTTTTTAAATATTAGTTGTAGGATAAAAAGAATTGAACAAAAAGACGAATTAGAAAGTGAAAAATGTCAAGAATACAGAGATATGGAAGCGATGCAAGAAGCGAATCAAAGAATGAGAGAAGAAGTTGATTCGCTTCTTGTTAAATATGAAGCATTAAAAAAATTTGCTGTCGCTAATAAAATTCATATCCCTCCAGAATTAGAAACAGTTCATTAAAAAAACTAATGGGAAAAACAAAAACATTTTGATTTTGTATTTTGTATCAATTCCTATTATTTTTAAATGATTCGATGTGTTTTCTCAATAACGAACAAAACAGGTAACATGTGAATTTAATGCTCCTGTAAGAAAGTAACAATTCTCAGGGTTCATCCAATCGACTTTTATTCAAATAAAAAAAAATATTTAAATAAGAATCGATAAGAAAAAAGTCAAAAGATGATTATTAATAAATTTCAAATCGAGAAAAGAAAATCAAATTCTAAGGTTAAGCTCTTTTATCAAACAAAACAATTATTTCGATAATGAATTATCTATCCATCCTTTTTTTTTATACATAATTATCATTTACTTATTTATTATCATTATTTTTTTTAATTTAATCGTTTATAATAATTTTTTATGAATAATAATAATAATAATAATAATAATAATAATATTTTTTAAATAATTTGTAATTTTTTAAAGTTTTCCTTTATCATTTTCATATTGTGTGTCATTAATTTGAATGATTTAAATAAATAAAAGAAAAAAAAGGGAATTTTAAACAATAAAAATTTAATTTATATTTATTATATATATATATGTATATATATACAAACGCACACACATATAAAAAAAACTTATACGTACATTTACATTTTTAATTTATACATATATGTATGTAGGTACGTAGCTAATAACAAACAATTCGAAAAAAATAATAATAATAAAATATATAAAATAAATACAAATTTTCAAAAAAAAAAAAAAAAAAAGGAAAACTTATTAAAGAAAAAATTTTTTTTTTGTTTTTTTCCTCTAAGAATCGACAATCGTGCGATCTCCAGCATAAATAATTTGTGAACATTTATTTGATCTTTGATGATCCATTATTGGAAATATTTGTATTATATTTTTCTCATTTAAATTTAAAGAATGTAAAAGAGCTTTGTTCCTCGTCGAACTCCTTACCAAATGATTAAAATTCCCGTTTACGAATATCTGTTGGGGGTAATAATAATAATAATGAGTAAGCAGAAGACAAACGGAGTGAAATTAAGAGAAGAAATCGCGTAAGGTAATAATAACAAACAAACAAACAAAGAGTTAAGTAAGAAAAACAACCGAAATGATGCGCAACATGACGATGACCGCCATTTTTATTTCGAGTCAGGATTTCCGCCAAAAGAAATTGACTCGCGCGCACTCTTTCGGCGAAAAAAAAAATTATTTTTTGTACTCACCTCGTATCCCGTCACGTTATTCGGTTGGTCCGTTATGTCCCATTCAATAAAAATTCCATCCCGATCGACTTTTCTTAATGTTTTAACCACGGGTACAAACGAAGATGACTGAAAAGAATAAAACGTTTCGTTGTTGTTTTGTTTTTTTTCATTTGTTAAACTAGCAGACGAGAATGAGGATGGAGACGACGGTGGCGGCGGCGACGAAGACGACAACGACGACGCCCTTTCGACGACATCATCATCATCATCATCATCTGATAATAATTTTTTTTCTTCTCTTTTAAAAAATCTCAAAGGATGAAATTTATCGATTTCATTTATTTCTAAATTTTTATCGTTTTTTTCATCCTGAAATTTATTTTTATTCATCATCATCATCATCATTATTATCATTATTAATTTGTCTTTCACCGCCTTCCATTATTACTATTCCTTATTTATTTATTTAAAAATAATAATAATTCTTACCCTTTCTTTTTTGAGTAATTTATAATTTTCCTTATTATCAACATTATTACTATTATTATTATTTGTATTTTTATTATTGTGGCTGTTGTTGTTGCTGACGTTGTTGCTGTCATCATATTTGATTCCTTCAATTTGAAAAGAGACAACGTCAAAAATGTCTTCCCTTTTAAAATTGTCTCCTCCTTCTTTTAAATAATTCAACAATGGTTTCAACATGACCGTTTTGGCTCGATATTTATTTTTCAAATTGTCTAAAGCAATCTGAAAACGAATAAACACAAAAACAAACGGTTAAAATCGTTCGCGGTTTCTCTGACGTCACTCCTACGTCACGCCGACGTCAGAACGTCACGTGACAATTAAAAAGTGTCGCATATCCATCACCTGTAAATTCGATACGAAATCCTCGGTTGGTTTAAAATTTTGAGTTTTCATCGTTTTCCCCGCCATCGGATTGAAAACTTCGACAATGTTCTTGTTCGAAAATGATGACGTAGTTAACGAAACCAATGACGTCGATGACGATGACAAAACCGATGACGAATTACCGTTATTATTTTTTTTTTTTGTAACCGACGGGTGGTTGTTGTTGTTGTTGTTATTGTTCATAATCGATTTGACCGTTTTCTCGACGTTTTCGACGTTTCCGTTTTCTATTTCCACGTTCATTTCTTTAACCTTACTATTATTATTATTATTATTATTATTATTTTTCTTGTTATTAATATTATTATTATTATAATCATTGTTTTTTTTATCGTAGAGAATTTCTAATGACATTTGTTCTTTTTGTATTTCGAGAGCGATTTTTTGCAGTTCTGCCAACTCTTTATCCTGAAAATAAAAAACAAATTATCATTCCTTTTTTCCTTTTAACTCCTTTGTTTTCCTTTTCCTCTTTTTTCCTTTGGTTTACCTTTAATTTTGATTCTTCCTCCATCTTCTCGAGAGTTTTTAAAAACTCCGTTTGTTTTAAACTGAGTTGAAAAATTTCGTCTGGAATTTTAATTGAAAAAAAAAAAAAATTAATGACGACGGGGTAAAGAGTGCGCTAGTGAGGCGAACGGGGGGGGAGAGAGAGAGAGAAAAAAAAATTGGCGGGAAATTCAAATTTTAAAAATTAAAAAACAAACTTAAACACACACACCATCGGAATCTTCGTTCGCATATTTATTATTGTTATTTCTATTATTATTATTATCATCAACGTGATTTCTCCATAGGGAAATTATTCGGGATGGAAATTTTGAATTTTTCACGAATAATTTTTTAACGGACGACGGAGTGGGACGTAAATATTTTAAATCTTGTCTAAGTAAATAACTTGCTGGAAAAACAACGGGTTTTAAATATGGATTGTTCGGTAGGAGTATTTCAACTTTGGGAAAATTTTTTTCTAATTTTACTAGAAATTTCTGGAATGAAATCGATCCGGAAAAAAAAAGAAACGGAAACGGTTTATTAATAAGGGATGTTTTTTTTTTTTTTATACGTCAAAAAAATTTAATTTCGGGACACTAACCTCGGTCAAAGGTTCGACCACCATTTCATTCTTCCTCATCATCATCGGTTGTCCATCTTCTAATAATTTATCATACCTTTTTGTTGTTTCATTTAAAAACGACAACGATACGTTCGGTACAACTAAAAACAAACAAACAAACAAAATGATGATAATAATAATAATAATAATAATAATGGCTTTGATAATAATAATATTTGTTACCTTCGTCTAGATTAGATGTTGTCGTTGATTGGGTGAGCAGAAGAAGCTCGGCAACTTTACCCTGAAATCAAACAAAAAAATTAAAAATTAAAATTTGACGGTTACATTTAAAAAAAAAAACGCTACTATCGCATTCTATCAGTTAAAATTGAAATTAATAATCAATTAACGGAAAATAGATTTGACCCTTTTTTTGTACTGATTTGAAAATTATTAAAAAATGGCGATCGATTTCCGTTGGAAATAATTTTCCGAGATTTTTCCGGGATTTTCCGTGATTTGTAAAGGATCACATTAAATTTTTTTCTCACCTCTAAAGTTTCAACTTCTTCTTTTAATTCGGAAACGGTCACTTCAAGATTTGAAAGTTCTTTTCCCTTAACGGTGAGTTTATTTGTCAAATCGGATATCTGAAACCGGAAATGAAGAAAAAAAGATTAAAAAACGATTGATTGATTGAATGAATGAATGATTGAAAAACAAACCTGATTTTGTAAATTTTTTTCAATCGCAGTGAAATTATCTTTTCTTTCTTGCATTGTTTTCGCCATATTTTCCGCCAATTCCTTTTCCAAAATGGCTTCCTTTTTCGCAGCTTCCAATTCTTTTTGCAACGTCACGTATTTTAAATCTTCTCTCATGAAATCGGATTTGAGTATTTTTAATTCTTCTTTTAATGAAATATTTTCCATTTCTAAAAATTTTTTTTGTTCTTCGAATTTTTTATCGAGATTTTTTTGAAATTCTAAAAATTTTAAATTATCATTTTCGTACAAATGTTTGTTGTTGTTGTTGTTGTTTATCATTTCCTCTTCTTCGGATTGTTTAGTTTTTTTCTCGTTTGTTTCTTCTTCTTTTTCTTCATCATTTTTCAACGTTCGCGATTCGTGAAGTGCTTTTTCCAATTCCTTTTGAGTTTCTTCCAATTGTTTGACGCGTTTTTGTAAATTTTCGTTAACCATATCCGCATCGGATAATCTTTTCTTGTAATCCGCTTCCATGTTCGCCCATATTTCATCTGCTTTTTCCAAACTTTCCATGTAAGCCTGTTCTTTTTTTTCATATCTTTCCAATTCGGCACGCAATTGTATTTCGTTTGCTATCATTCCTTTGAGTTCTTTAAACAAATCCATTTCTTCCGGATTAATTATTTGATTGTTCGATCGATATGACGGCGACGACGACGACGACGACGACAACGTGGTCGAATCCGTTTTTTCAACGTCTTTGAGTGCTTTCAACGTGTTCGTCATGTCTTCCAGAGTTTCCCTATCTTTCGCCGCTTTCAATTCCAATTCGTCTATTTTATTGAGTAGAATTTTTTCTCTATCCGCGGCAAAAGTTTCAACTTTTTCATAATTTTCACGTAATTTTTTTTGATCGTTTAATAATTGTTCGAGTTTTTTAACAACGGCATCTTCTTCTTCCTCTATTCCTATCCCTGCCGCTCCTGCTCCTCCCGTTGTATTTTTATCCCCATTTTTTTTATATCCTATTGAATTTTTCGACATTTTATCATCGGCTTTTATTTCTATTAATTTACCATTGTTCATTAAATGATAGACGTTCCAGGCTACTATTGCCGGCATTGCAGCTTCTATCATGCTCAGTCTTTGTTTGGCTTCGATTTCTCTTTCTTCTAATTCGAAATTACGTTGTTCGTATTTACTTATTAAATTTTCTAAACTTTGTTTCGTTTTATTTTTACCGCCGCCATTGCCATTACCACCCCCACCACCACCACCGTACATTTTTATATTTTTCCTTTCTATTTCTAATTCTAATTCTGTATTTTTATCTATTAATTCTTGTAGTCTTATTTCTAACCTGAAAAACAAACAAAAATGAAATCATTTTTTATGCTCCCACGTCTGCTCCATCTCTCTCTTCTCTCGCCGCCATCTTTTTTTTTTTTTTTCACTTACCTTTGAAGCTGATACCTTACGTCATTTTCAGCTTCTTCGAATTCGCACTTTTCTTCTTCTAATTTTTTATTCCTTATTTCTAATGTGGCAACTTTTTCAGTCAGTTCTTTAACCCTATACGCTAAATCAACTTCTTTTTGTAGTCTTTTCGAGAGCAGTATATCTTTGGCGTCTCCCGTGCTTTCGTATATTTTTAACTTATCCTCTAATTGAGCGAGTCTTTCCTCGTAATAAAGAACACTGTTCGTATGTGGACAAGTAAACGGTATCGAAATCTCTTTCGGAGAATTTGGCGATTTTGTTTTTTGCTGTATACGTTTTCGAATGACCGAAAGTTTTGATATTTCCGTGCTCAAGTCATCCGAACATTTTTGTTGCTGTTGCTGCTGACAATGTTTGTTGCTGTTGTTGTTTTTATTAGAATTTAATAACTCGCACGAAGAATCGATAAATTCCAATAGTGTTTTATCGAGTACTGATTCCGTTTGACAACCTTTTGTTTGTTTCGTTAATATTATGGCATCACCTCCACCACCGCCACCGCCAATACCACCACCACCACCACCACTACCATCCGTTGGTGAAATCGGATCGGAATCTTCAAAAATTCCACTTTCCTGTAGGCATTCAACGGATTTTAATGATTTTTTATATTTAACATCGGGTAAATATGAATCCGAATTTGTCGCTTCCGGTGACAATAATCCAAGATTCGTAACGGCTCCTAATGGTGAATAATTTCGAATCTGAAAACGAAAAAAAATTTTCAATTCGATCATAAAGAAAAAAACCAATCGATCAAACAACCAACCAACCGAACAACCAAACAAACAATTTAACAACCGATCAAACAATCTTTTTCGATTCCGCCTTTTAATTATACGTAATTAAAAAATTATCATCACCGATGATTATGAAAATGATGTGCGACAATCTTTTTTCTTTTCTTATTCGTTACGTAACGACAAACAACAACAATAACAACCGACAATAATAATAATAATAATAATAATAATAATAATATTTTATTCCGGTCTACCGATCGACTAAAAAATGATTTAAATTAAAGGACGATCCAAAACATTATCGTTAAAAAATTATTTTTTATTACTCTTTTTTTTCCAATGGGGTAATAAATTTATAACAACTTTACTTAACATACGAAACCAATAATAATAATAATAATAATAATAATAATAACTAAGAGAAATGAAATCTTTTATATTTATAAATAAAACAGGAAGAAATTTTCGAGAAAAAAACCCTCCCCAAAACTTACAAAAACGAAGAAGAAAAAAGGACGACAGCAGCAGCAGCAGCAGCAACAACAACAACAAACTTACCGAATTTATATGTATGAATTAAAATTTCCTTTTTTGTTTTATTTTTATTAATTTTTTACGTACGTACACAAAAGAACACAAAACGAACACAAAAGTTACAAAAAATAAAAAATAAATAATAATAATAAATTTTTATGTATTAAAAAAAAATAAAAAATTTCGTATATAAAAAATTTTGGGTTTTCATCATCCGATCGAAAACATAAACATAAACACGTGAGAGAAAGTGAGAGAGAGAGAGAGATAGAGAGATAGTAAACAAACAAGGAAAATTTTTTTTTTTTTTTTTTTTCGATAATTTAATATATATCGAATTATATTATTCGATTGTTTTATAATTCGAGATATCGTTTCATAAATAAAAAATTTTCTTATGTAATTTTAACTCTCTCGAATCCATGTTTTGTTTTACAAAAACAAAAATGATAATCGAACGATTGTTCTTTCGAACAAACAAACAAACAAACAAACAAACAAAAAGGTTTCGATTATCGGAAATGCAAACGAAAACAAATTATTTATTTATTTATTCGTTTGTTTCTATAATTTCGTAATTTGATTTTTCCATTTTAAAATAATATTTTTTACACGTACATATATTCTAATTCCACGTTTTTGTCAAGGTTACTCACACTTCCCCCTTCCCCCCGCCATTTGAATTTAAAAAAAATTAGATCAAAGAGAGCGAGTTAATTATAAAAAAATCCCTAATTTGAAAATGGATTGACCCTATTTGGAAAAGCCCCCTCCTTTTTTTGGCAAAGATGTCGTCATACTTTTCCGTTAAAAAAAAAACCTTTTTAAATATGGCGTCGGTTGTAACCGCTCCTTAATTTACTCTCCCGAATACAAAATATATATAAAAACTTACCGCGTCTCCCAATTCGGAGTCTGAGGTTAAATCTTCGCTTGTTGGCAACGACATGACACCTGAATCGCTTATATCCTCTAAATCTCTTTCCAACGGCCATACCATTTTTTCATTCGAATGTTTTTCTTCCCTTATGACTTCTTTATCTAAAAACTAAAAGGGGAGATGTGGGGGGTGTAATATTTTTCAAAAAATAATTTTTCCCGCGTTTTTTTTTTTTTGTCGCTACCGTGTTTGTTTACCTCTTTTCTACATTCTTCCAATTCTAATATTCTAAATTCCATTAAATCTCTTTGTTCTCTAAGTTCTTCTGCTTCGGCTATTAATTGTCCTTCTCTTTCTTTTAATATTCTTATTTGTTCCGCCATTATTAAATTGATTGCATTCTCGTGATTTTCTTGTAGATTTTTATTGTCGTTTTGTGATGTCGCATTTCTAGTTTCCTCTTCTAACCTTTCCAATTCTTTACCTTTCGATTCTAATTTCGATCGGAGTTCGTTATAAGTTTTCTGTAATGCTCTGTGATCGTTTAATAATTGAGCATATACGGGTTCGTGGTAATTTGCATTGACAAACTAAAAACAAAGAAAATTATATGAAACGTTTGGACGTTATTCGATTGTCGCGGTTGTTGTTGTTTGTAACTCACGTTGTCTGTCCAACATAATTCTCCGTTGCATAAAGGCGGAGATGATGGAGACGACAAATTACCACGATGATTCGTTGAGTCGGTTGTCGATTCCAAATCCTACCATTAGGAAACAAACAAACAAACGTTGAATAATTTTTTTTATACGTAAACAATCATAATAATAATGATGATGATTTACACTCACCAATTTATTACCATAATCGTTGTTTTTCATTTTCGTATATTCCATAATTAAATCTTCTAATTTTTTATCTTTTTCTTCTGCTGCTTCTCTAAGAGCGCTTATTATCTTGTCTCTTTCTTCGATTTGTTTTCTTAATTTTTCTATATCTTCGTCGATCGCTTTTAAATCTTCCATCGTTTGTTTGGACTGAAAAGAAAAGGAAAAATTTATTATCATCATACATCAACAACGGTGTAAGACTTTATCGTTTTAGAGGGGGGAGGAAGAAGGGGGGGCGGGCGACAAAAGCATTTATTGTTAACAGCATAATAATCTTTTTACGACGAAAGAAAAAATAATTGAGAAAAGTAAAAGATGAATCAATCGAGCAAAATGGAGACGACGACGATGAATTTTAAGAGAAAGGGAAATGAAATCGTTTAAATAATGCCAACAAGGTTAAATTAATAAAATAAAATGCAGTCTCTCTCTCTCTCTCTCTCTTTCTCTCTTTCTTTCTCCTGACACGTTAATAAATTTGCGAAACGAAAAAAAAAAAAAAAAAATTTTTTTTCTTTATTTATCGAAATAATTTCGTAATAATAATAATATTAATAATAATTCATTGAATTGAGAAAGATTCAAGTGTGAAAAATTTATTATTATTATTATTATCGATAAAGACTTGAAATTAATGGAATTGTTATAGGGAGGCGGGGGGAGGGGAAGGGAGGAGATAGAAGCGATCAAGCGTATAATAGGTAAAGAAAATGGGCAGGAAATTATAATTTCAAGATGTCGAAGAAGGACGAGCAAAGGATTTAAGGGCGTTCAGGGATGCCAACTCATCCGATACAAAATGTCAGCCCTGACATGAAAAATTTTTTTTTTTTTTCTAATCGCACACACTTCTTCATGCTTAAATAAATATTAAAAAAAAATAATAATAATAATAATAATAATAATTTCTTCGACAGGTCATTCACGTGTCACCTTGGCACTTATTACGGCCCTGAACTCATTTTTATTTTCTCTTTTTTTTTTTTTGTTACCGATTTAAGAAAAAAATAGTTTTGTTTAATGCCACGATAGAAAAGTAACGAAAGCTATTTCCTTTTTGCCGCCACCGCCGCCATCTTCGTCACCACTACCACCTTAATAAAAAAAAAAAAAAAAATCCTTGACCAAACACTCACCGCTTGAGCGTCCACATCTTCCTTAACGGTTACGGGAAGTGATTTGCTCGCTTTCACATTCATTTTAATAAAATTTATTTTTTTATTTGACGGCGATTCTTTTTCCTGCAGTTTTCGTACCTTAAACAAAAAAAAAAATAATAATAAAATTCTAAAACCACGTCGAAATAAAATTAAATCGTATGGGAGGGCGAGGAAATGAAACCGGTCGGTTAAGTACGACCCATTACTACAAAAAAAAAAAAATTAAATTTTTCGACAAACAGCAGACGAAAAAAAAAAAAAAATTAACCATAAGATGAGCTTAAAGTGGAATTCGGTTATTAGAACGAGTTGGAACAGGTTAGGAATTACGTAACAACATCCGTTGTTGTTGTGGTTGTTGTTTGTTGTTGTTTGTATCCCGTTAGTCAATCTTTCAAGTGTTTGTTCGTTCGTTCGTTAGGTCGGTCGGTCGGTCGGTCAGACGGTCTCTTTCCACAGTCCAAGGGTCTTCGAGTCCATTCTAGAACAATGACTTAACAACATTTCACACATGTTAGATCGAGAAAGAAAAAAAAACAAAAAGAGGTCATTTTGTTTTTTTGTGACGATTACATTTACTTTTGTCTTCTTCGTCGGCTAATGTTTAATTTCCGGTCGATCGACCGAACCGTTGGAAATTTTTATGCTGTCGTTTTAAAAAAAGAACACCGACCGAACCGTTAGAAATTATCGTGTGTGACCATTAATCACACGACGGAACTAAACAAAGTAGCAGACGACAATACAACAACAACAACAACGAGTTTTGCCTAATTAAAAATAAATAAAACAATAATAATAATAATAATAAAGTAAACGGTTGTGACAAATGAAAACAAAAAACCGGAAGAAGAAGTTTAAAAAAAAAATTCGCGATTTAGTCGTAAGAAAAGTATAGAAATTCGTTTAACGAATTTTTTATTAAAAATTTTTCCCCCCCCCCTCCTTCCATTGTTTCGTAAAAACAATCGTAACGACGGCCATTTTGATTTTTGCAAAACCGTGCGAATTAATTAAAAAAAAACCTAATTGACGAAGAGAGAGAGAGAGAGAGAGGGTCTGGAAAGTTCTGGAACGAAAATCTTTTATTATACTTTTTTTTTCTCCATTTTCCGGTGTTTACGTCACAGGTGCGCAATGGTAAAAGGAAAAGAGAGAGGGAGAGACCTTTCACGTACGACGACGACGACGACAACACACGCACACACACACACACACGTGTGTTTTTCAATAAAAAATCTTTCCTTTCTCTCTCCTTCTATTTTTGCGGATACAAATGGCCTTAAGACAAACAACCGATGCCAATAATATGAAATTTAAAACGAAAGCGAACAATGGAGGATTGAAAAAAAAAAAAAAAAACATACACGACGACGCCTTGAGGCAGTCAATAAACAATAACAACAACAAACAACAACCTGCCAAAGTATGAGCATAATTTAAAATAATTTATCGTAAAAAAAAAAAAAAAAAACTACTTCTTCCGTTTTCTCGAAAGTTCTTCGAATATTTACCCAAATCGGTCACCCATCCATCCCTAGACTTATCGTATTGTAAATTAAATAACCTTTGACCGGTCAACAACCGTTTACTTATTTTTACACATATATTAAATAATAAATTTTTCGTAATCATCATCATCATCATCATCATCATCATCATCATCATCATCATTGGTAATAATAATAATAATAATAATCATTGACGTTTTTTCCCCCCCCCCCATTTAAAACTTTCTCCGGTTCTTTTACGCGCATTTTCTTCGACTTCCGTCTTTTTTTTTTTTGTTTTGAAACAAAAATGTTTCATAAATAATTTTTTGATTGATGTTTTAAGTAGTTTTTTTTTTTTTTTTTTTTTTTTTTTATCTTATCATTTGTTGTATCGATTGTTTGTACGTACATCCTGTTGTTGTTGTCGTTATTACTACTTTCGAAAAAAAACGGAAGATGGGAAAGTTGAATGAAATGAAAAAATGTAGGGGGAAAAACAAAAAAAAAAACCATTACCGTGACACCGCCATTTTTACAATTCGCCATTTTTTCATTTACAAATAAAAAAAAAAAGAGCGGTTGCCATTAATTAATTAATTAATTTCACTCCGTAATAAATATTTTCTTTTTTCGGTTACAAAAGAAAAAAAAGAAAAACAATCGTAATTATATTAATAATAATAATAATAATAATTTAAAATCAAACATGTCGGATAACGTAAATTATTTTAAATTTTTTTTTTTTTTTTTTTTTGGCAAAATTTACCGCGTTGCTATTATTATTATTATTAATATAATTAACGATGTATCGGCAAGAAGAAAGTAAGGAGGTATATAATTACGTTGAATCCGCAATAGAAAAATGATAATCGATAAATTTCTCTAACCGCATAAATTCGTTACGTTTTAAAAAAAACGGTTTTCGAACGTGTTCAAAATCGATGACGTCACACCTTCCAACAGGAAAATAAAAAAGCGCGCGCGCGCGCGCGCTCTCTCGCGGTGGTAACTTTCGATTTTTAACGTAGCCCCCCACACACACACGCACACGTAAGTTAAACACGTTAATAAAACATCATAAGATAAACATACAGAGAGAGAGGGGGAGAGAGAGAGAGAAAAGAGCAACGTCACGCAAATACGAGAGATAAAAACGATATCTCGATTTAACAATCGATACTTTACCGTTAATAAATGAATTTCATTCTTTCTTTTCTCGAACGGAAGATGAATGAACGCGTACATCGTCGTTCATTAACGCGTCGTTATTTCTATCTAATTTTGCGGGCGCGTTTTTTTTTCTTTTGTTTTCCGTTTTGCGCGTGGGAACAAATAAAAAAAAAAAAAAAAAACTTTTCATTACGCAAACGTTTTAATAATTAACCCGATTTCAATTTTATCCTTTCACTTTGTACCCCCTTTTTTTTTTCTCTTTTCTTTTAGAATTCGAAAAAACTTCAATTTTGTCATTTTAAATTAAAATATTGGCAACACTGTCACGCGAGGGAAAAATTGTTGTTGTTGTTGTTGATGTTTATAATTACGATTAATCGTTATTATTGTATTACCTTTTAAACCTTTTACTTTTTTATACCTTTCTCTCTTTTTTTTCGGGAGAAGGGGGGGGGAATTTTTCCGACAGGAGCCATTTTTTTTTTGTTAACTACGTCACGAACGTTTTATTATTAATATTTATAAATTATTTAAATTTACTTTTCTTTCTTTCTTTTTTCTCATCATGTCGTGAAATTATTAAAAAAAACTTTCCATCGTGTTTTTTTTTTTTTTTTACGTCATGCAATGTTTGTTACAGTAATTATTGGATTTTACCAATTGATTGTTGTTAAATTGTTTTGCTTTCATTTCGAAATGAGAGAGATGGAGAGAGAGAGAGAGAGAGAGAGAAAGGGGGAGAGAAAGAGAGAGAAAAAATATTCAATAATTATATTAAAATTTCTTCCAGTTCGAATCCTTCAATTTTTTTTATTGTAATTTTATCGCCGAATCTTTAATAATAATAATAATAATAATAATAATAATAATAATATAGATAATAATAATAAAAGATAATAATAATAATAATAATAATAATAATAATAATAATGGTAATAAACAATTTCATGAAAACAATCAATCAATTTGTTTTTGTTTTTTATTACAAATCGTCTTGTTGCCAATTGAACTTTACGTGGTTTCTTTTTAAACGTGTAAAAATAAGAGAGAGAGAGAGAGAGAGATTAATCCTCGTTGTAAGTAACTGATAATCATAATAAATCACTTTAAATGAGGTTTTACACTCCCTATTGCCACGTTTTTTTTCTCCGTTTCGTTTTTTATGCAAAATGAGAAAAAAAGGAAAAAAAAAACGTCGTGCATAAAATTTTTCATTTCGACAACGAACGTAAACAACAACAACAAATTTTTTTTTTTTTAAATTACGTTGGAATCGTTCCTGACACGACTATTTTTTTGAATAATGATC